TTATATAGCTTTTATTTGTTTCAAGATAGAAATTAAATCCTTCCTCCTACCATTTGGAAAATAACTCAAAAAAACATTATTGCACAAAGTCATTTGTTATTTATTCACAATTATACGTTTATGATTTTGTTATTTACGTTAGTTATTGTTACATTAAATCTCTGGTTTTGTCTGCAAACAATGTGTTGAAAGATAAGCAGCAATGTTCAGTATGAAATATGGTCACTACTAGATAGCAATTCGAAAACCTTTAACTACAAAAAGTTTCTCGCCATTATAGGAATCAAAACTTATAAACTAGTGCCATTTTATTTAAAGTTACTTTTGACATATGTCGTTGTCTGTAGTTTGTAGCTTAAATTTCTAATCAACTGAAAAAAACATTATCAAAACATTGACTAAACAAACGTCTGTAATCTTCAAAATTTATTAGCTTGCATTAGATTTAACTGAACGTTAGGATTATTGAAATCCTGAAATAATAGATCAGGAAAAAAATTCATAACATACGATATACATAAAACAATGATTTATCAATGTAATCATTTCCAGGTAATCGTTAATGTTTATGATAAGAATTCATATCGTTTCTCTTGTGTTATAAAACTAGTTTTCTCCAGTCAGCAATGTTATACTACCAGAAGGTTTTGTAATACTTAGTTTCATGCAGTGCCATGATTTCTTTGCTTCACTTTGTGAACATTCGGTGATTTAGGTTGAGTTCCAATTCAGATTTATGGCCTCCTGCTTAAATAACCAGGCTACATGTTTCCTAACATGAAAATATCCGAACAAAATGGCCTCTTCTGCTTTTCTTGGCAAATCAGTCATATATTCTCTCAAGGTGCGTTCATAAAGAGCCGACGACTTATCACTTCATAAGGTACAAAAAAAGTACAATCTGAGCTGTCATGGTTACTCGTAATGTACAATGAGAATGAGACTTGTTGAAATATTCTGGGCTAATGATTCCATAGTAAAATAAGCATATAACATTGAATAAAGCCATTATTATTATTAACATTATATGGTATTGCCTATTAACATAAGAAACATTCAGAAACATTATTTCGATTCGAAATTTTCAGTGAATTCTTTCTCTTATATTGTATTCAAAATTTACATGACAAACGAATTACTCAAGAATGGACATTTTAATTGAACATCTAAATAAATAACAATCGGTCTATACCATGATAAGATACTTTAGTTTAAGTTAGATAAGTTGACTTTTTAAAATTATAAACTTGGAAATCAATTTCATAAATGTAAAAGATTATTTACCTTTAAGTAACTCAAGGGAATCGATCTTTCAGCAATAAAACAATAACTCATTTGTCAGCTAATAATAAATTGTAAAATGATTGTTTTTGAGAACAAAATATCATTGTTGATCGTTAACATTTGTGACGATATTGAAATTATTAGAGTATAATTAAAGAAATAATTAAAATGATCTAGTTATTGAAATAATTAGGCTATTTTAACTATATTCTGACTTGTATATGTTGATGGTTGGATTGCATAATACTTTTTAAATGATTATGTAATATTATTATTGAACTAGTAATACAAGTTTTCAAATATGACTCGATATACATTATTTTTCTACTAGATAACTGTTGCCTAAAATACCAGACGGTCAACCGCTAATTGGAATTTCTTTCGATAAATAATAATATGGACTACTTTCTAAGTTAGGACCTATTTGTTTTTGATTTCTATATGTAGAAATCCTCCAGACAAAATTCATAAACCTAAAGTGGTACCATCAGTAATATGCTTCCCCATATGGTTGTTCATTCGCAATTATCTTAAAATAACTATCAATGTGAATTGACTAGTCAGAGGATATATTGTTAATTAAAAGATGTTAAATGAATGAAATGTTTTAGCAAATATGTCTAGAACACTTGTTCCACAGTGTGATCCTGAACCTCAGTAGAGTGTATATTTCAAGTCTTAGAGAATTGATAAAAAGTTTAGCATCCCTGCAAAATTAGGATAACAATGGTCTGTAAAAAAATGTTTTGTTTTCAATGAATATTCATTAACTAAGATAAATGATAACTACGTGACTTGTGAAAATCATACATATACATACAAACTGAGCATAGACAATTAACTATCATTGATGACCGATCAACGAAATACAGAAAAAAAATACAAGCAGTAGTCCTGTGTTCGGTAAATCTAAATATTGCAATCAACAATTTATAATGCTTGTGTTGATTAAATTATTTATTGTGGATTATATAAAGACTTTAATACAGTCCATTAAGGAAGTGTATTACTAAATGGATGTGAATTGATTTTGATATTCTGAACATCTATATGTTTTATTTATTGATTATTTACTAAAATTAACAAATGCAACTGCTGCTTGTATGATTCATTTTATCTTCAAATATGGTTGACGGTAAAATTTGCTTTAAATCGACCTCATCTCTAAATAAAATAATATTCATCTGATTGCTGATAATAAAAAAAAAATATTCATCATGTTTGTTCTTAGTTCTCTGTACATTTTTATATCGACTCTTTGTAGCTGGTGTATGAGATTACTTAAATTCATAGTTTCCATTTAGTAGTTCTTCTAGTACATTAAGGTTTTAAGGGAAAGCAGAGTCATAAGTGATCGATACGAAAAACAAAATAAATGTTTTCATAGCATTTCATCTATCATATATATATATATATATATATATATATATATATATATATATATATATATATATATGTCTGTATTTCTATGCTCATGCAAAATAATCATAAAATACTTTAAAAAACTATCACGGAATATTTTGGTTTCAGTTGCGTACTTATATTTATTTACTGTGTTTTTTTCCGTTATCTACATTGGGTTTCCAAAAACAGTATCCTTTCATTATTAACTGAAGTATTTGATTGCCAGTTCATACTGTATGGTCTGAAATTCATAACAGCAGTGTTCAATTTATACCGTGGATATGCATAATCATCGCTTTATTATTCAGTAAAATAACTTGGTACTTGTATATTTAATTCCTCACTATCAAATTATGAAGATTGTTAAGTTTAATTGAAATCGATCATTATTTGACTACCATTAGAAATCTAGAGGCACGACTCCTATTATGAAAAATCTAACCCTAGATATTTAGTCTTGAGTACAGACGCTTAACCTCTAAACCACTGAGCAGGTATTCAACGATCTTAATTTCTAACATAGATGCGCACTGCCGATGAGTCCCATACTAGGACGAAACGGCCGTTCAGGGCTTCCAGGTTTTTTAATGGTGATCTGTCAATAATCGATTGATTATTTCACTGAAGCTTGATTTCGTCCAAATGTTTTCATTCGATATCCTCATGTTTGAAGGCACGTTTTTTTTACGTATTTGATGGAATAAAATTCTTATCTTTACATTATTGATTATCGTATAATGAACATAAGGTGATTACCTTTCTTCTCGAAATCCCCAAACATATTCTGTGACTCAACATTACTCTATTAGTGTCAATTATAACAGTAGCCAAATTGATAATGACCTCTTCATTTGTATCTATATGGTTGTCATGCCAACTTGAACATAATTATGTTTAGAGTGAAAACATCAATTTTCACCATCTCACTGTCCCACTAAAGAGTAAACAACCCAAATATAAAGAAAAAGTCAATAATGTTCTGTTTTTAAAAGAGTAACCTGATAAGTTGAAATACACTATGGTAACGCTTTAAAGAAATGTTTATGCATCTTTTAGTCTATCATCTCATCAAATGATCTGACTAATATGATATCTGATAAAAATAAATCGGCTTCGTCGGAACATTCATCATAAGAGTTTTGTATTTTGTTAACAGCTATCACTGTTTGAACATGATAGACTACTAACAATATGAATTAATCTAATTGTGAATGTTAAGTTACCTTATTTGAAAGTGCAGTATGTTGAGAATAATGTTTTGTGATGAAACAAATAAACTGAATTTAAAAATATACTTAGCTGACGTTAATGACGATGGCTTGGTTTTGTTTTGGTTGTGAAGCTTTCATTGTTCTTCTCACCAACATCATCAGCACAAACTACATTTCTCCACGTATGATTCATAGCTTGAGGTTAACAGGACAAGCTGCTATTGGTACGTGGAGATTTTCGAATAATTAACTCCTATCTGAAGTTTTTGCTGATGTATTTGTTCGGAAGAACAATGAAAGCTCCATGACCAAAACATCCAGCTCAGAAAATGAAACTCCACCATAAGCTAAGGTTAGGTAAACAGTTGTCAGCTGACGTTTTTTGAAATTTTGAAATTGTATAAATACACAGTAAAAAATACTATAAACGTAATAAATATCTGATATTCTGTCGGTAACATGGACGTTTTTAATCTACTGCAACAGTAGACAGAATTCTATATAAATGCTAATATATTGATCGAACAGTCCCCATTTCAAATGCTCACTGAGCAACTATGCTGTCGAAATGCATTGAAAGAAGCTGATAATTTATAATTACAAAAGTAAGAACTATAAAAAAATTCTACCTAAATTATCTTTACTACCCTTGAAAAATTAAGTATCTTCCGTGTAATATGAAATCCGTTTGTCATAAATTTGTGAGCCGTTTGTTTAGGATTCATAAATTCCACTCGTTTATATACCTAATCAACTGCTTAAATTTACTTTGAAACCATAAATATGTTATCGCTTTACGAATGAATTTACAGCCAAATTACGAAGTAGATAAAAAATGCTTTACATTCAAATCTATGAATAAATTCTTTTTATTAATTATCCTAACACTTAATTGGCCCATTAATTGACCAATCAAGATGAAATAATAAAAATAATTTCTTTAATCAAGATTCCTGAACAAATAAACTTTACAAATTATAGAATACAATCATTGTTAATTTATGAATAAAAAATTATTACTTCGGTTTTCCCGTAAAAAAAAACATGAATAACTTATTCTCTTAAAATATGATGTGCCAGGATCGTATTTCGCTTTTAATAATGATAAGTCTCGTTAACTGGAACTTATTTTTATCTAAATTTACAGTATATGGATTTAACACTATCAATACAAACGAGGTGAAGTTTTTGAAAACCGTTAGTTTTAAAAAACACGGTAAACCATTAGAAAATTTCACACTGTTACCGTCATCAATAATTGAACAGAATATTTCTAATGAGTATATGTTAAACGATCACCCATTATCTGTACTTAATTTTAATAAATACCAAAAGTTCTCCTATCTAAATGATATGCAACCGGAAAATGTTGATAATTCAAAACATCCATTATTATCTGATCCATTGTTTGATCCTTCAATTCTTACAGATACTGCTGCACGTGTCATTCAATCCAATCGTTGTACAACGGAAGAACGTCAAAAACGAATACAATGTTTTGAAGTACTACCTGCAGAACAATATGCTATACCATTAGGACATACTGTGAATATGCAATGTGTTGTTTTAAATCAACATGGCAAAGTTCAATGGCGTGCGAAAAAAATACTTCTTGGTATGTTTTTTTGATTATTTTTAATTGAAACAGATTTATAGAATAATCGCTTTTCTGACTCTGAATACTATTTGAAATTGTATACTTATCAGTTTTTATGTCAAATGTTTAGATATTGAAACAACACTTCAAATGCACATTGACAGTGTGAATGGTTCAAGCGTGCAAACTTATGAAAAAATGATATTAGCCATTTAATTCTGTATCTAAAACCTATTAAATGTATGTCGAAGCAAGCGAAAGATAAAACAATCCAGTTCATTTCTTAAATACACCCAATACTATGTTGTCAAATGTTGATTTTTTGATAAACAGCCAAATGTTTCGATATAATCACCTAGTATTACCGGTTACTTACTGTCACATAATCAAAATGCTCCATGATCTCTTTGAGTGGTCAACTTGGAGAAAGATTACTTAGTAAATAAGTGATATGTAGTCTATTTTTGGGGTGTCTACTTCTTAAATATTGATTCTATCAAATATTCTCTCTATTCAATGATATAACTGGTCATAAACTCAGGTTATTGATTTTATTAATTTATTGATTTATAATCTGGATTATTGTGACATGTTTTTGTTGGATTTAAATAATCTTCAAAAAATTGGGTAATTCTATTCTCATTCCTGCTCGAAATTAATTGGCTTTTCTTCGATATTTAAAATGTATGGGTGAACGTTTAATATTCCGTAGGGAATTATTCTTTATCGTGTTTTCTGATAAAGCTTGTCTATATCACTTCGCTCATAACATTTAAATCAAAGCCTTTCTCGTGTCTGTTCAAGTCAAGATTAATTCTGACCACTGTCAGCTCACACTAATGATTGTTAGTAATACTAAAATGTCAACATAGCAACAATATAAAAATATACATCTCTAGTCAAAATATAGGAGCAGTACGGTTTGACTGACGCGGGCATTAAAAATTCACGATTGAACAAAATACGTATAGTTCCGATAACCATGTAACATATTTAATTATATAGATAGTTTCTTGCTAATATATGAGGTATTAGTAAGTGTTGCTTAGATAAACTATGGTAAAATAATTTTCTTTGGATAATAGTGAAAGTTCTCACATATTGTTAATATTTATTTTTATAATGCCTGACAGTGTATATTTATGTTGGTTTAAAAAAACACAATAAATTTTATTTCAAAATGAAAAATACTATATATAGGTATATTTTTTCTTAGTTCAACAAAAGAAGAATTCATTATTTATAGTTAAATTTCTTGGTTTTATCCATCTCATAAATTATGAATTTTAACTCGTTTTCATCAAAAGACCTGATAGTTGATTTTGTGTCAAATGGTTTCTAAAACTGCAAGTTTTTAAAAACAGTTCTAAGGACTGAAAAAACTATATTTAGTGTTCTTTTCGATGAGCAATTATTTTTAGCCTGGTATTGGTATGTCAATAAAAACTGTTGTTAAATAACATTATGAGTTATGCTTTCCCTACTAAACTAGATTATTTGCCTTAAGATACTTTAAAGGATCAAATTAAAGGAATTACATGAAACAGTGGTTCAAATCTAACGTTCTTTGCAGTGATCCACTATGTTTTATCATGAGTAAAATATACACTGATTTTATGAGTGAATATTTTAATAATAGTTCTCTATCATATAGTAATGTCCTTATAGTGATATTAATTTCTTAGCTAATACACCATATAAGATGTAATAATCATTAGAGCATTGTTTAGCTTCTTTTCCCTATCAGGACACACTTTCATTCAGATGAATACATTTAAAAAACTCATAACTATAAAGTCAAATTTCCGCCTCATCCATGTTACACATACCTTAATTTAAAAACAATAAATAATCAAGAAAGTTATGAAAAAAATTCATATGTTTATTGTTGTAACAAACAATTAGAGTTATTTGTTTTCTAAAACAAATTTTATCTCATCAAAAAGACTTTCTAAATAATTAGAAATAATTTTAATTAAAAGTATCAACATTTATTCCTATTCTATCTTTTCATCAAATTCATCAGTTAATGATGAATTCAGCTGGCTAGTTATGATTATCATTCAAATTAGAATTTATATCATTTAAAAGTGAAATGCTTATTTATTGGACCAAATCATTAATATCAGTTGTGTTGACTAAGATTAGTCAGGCTTTATTGGCATATGTACAGCCTGTTTGAACTGCCCTAATGTGGCTTTTTAGGTTACAAGCATTATTAGCAAAGGTGGATAGTGGCTAGCAGGGGAACCTGACACTCGCGTTTCATCCTATTTAAGACTCGTCATTTGTATATACCTGCATTTGGGAGTTAATGTTCACTATAGGACTCAAACCCTATAACCTTTCACTTAATAGACCAATGTGTTATCCCCTTAGCTACTGAGTCCGATTAGCCACTCACTTGTGCGTTGAAGTAAAGATTAATTTGTCGATTTTATTATAAATCTTCTCGTTGATGTTTATTATTGCAAATGACCAGTCTCTTTTGACATATATGGGTTATCTGAAGGATTCAAACAACCAATACAAATGAATTATTCGTCACCTCATCGCACATACGAGTGGATATATTGACTCAGTAACTAAATGGATAACACGATAGCCTATAAAGTGAAAGCTATAGGGTTTGAGTCTTGGAGTGAAAGTCAACTCTATAATATAGAAACACCCAGTGGACTTATCCCAAATAGAACGACTGCTAATTATTCATTAAACAATCAGAATTTATTAGGATTGGGTTTTTCACTTGAATTTTACTGTGAGTGAATACATATGTCTCGTTTTTGCTAAATTGTTGCTGTTGTTTCATGAATTTCATTCACTTGATAATGTCAAACAGAGTCCGAACAGCAGGTGTTACAGACTAAAATAATTTCCACTATTTTAAGACATTCTATGAGCAACGAACAATCCATGCTTATAACGGATAGCTTGAATACTAATAGAGATATATCATGTTTTTCTGTGTGAATTTCGGAAAAATATTCGAATATGTTATAACAAATAAGCAGACTGGGAAGAAGACATGGATGAAGATTTTAAGCACGCCAGTTATTTGTTGAAAATTTCGTACTAAGACAGATCAATAACTGGTTTTCATGGTAAAAAGAAATATATGATTCTGTAATCAGTCAGCCTATTTGCGACAGAAATACCTTGTGAATTGGAAATCATAATGCAACTAAAAAGATCATACTATTGAATGATTCGATTCATTTCACCAGTGAAAAGAGATTTTGTACATTTTTTGTTAGTAAATTCGTAGCCGATAAAATGTTTGATAATCACAGCTTGTTAACAGCTGAATAATAGTAATATTCTTAATTGTTAATTACTCAGAAAGTTCGTTTTTCAAAGCAAGTAGAAATAAATGATTGATGACTTTGCTCTATTTTATAAAGTATGAAAAATCAGTGCACTTGCTTTCACAGAAATAAAAGCAACAATAGAATACTTTTTCACAGATACGCATAGATTGATTGTTTTAATGTTATTAGTTGCAAACAAAATCGATCCTTTTCGGTCTTAAAGATCAATTGGAAGATTTCAATCAGCATTACATAAAAATTGAAGTTCAGCTGACTGCACAAGCAATTAGTTATCTGAACTCAATCGCTAAGTGGATAATACGATAGTGTTTGAAGTTAACAGTACTGAGTTCAAGTGTAGGAGTGAACAACAAATCTATGTATTAGATTTATCTATCTGACGAGTTTCGGATAGGACAAAATATGCGTCTAAGATTCCTTTGCTTGCTGTCATCCATATTTGTATAAAAGTATCGAACTATGTATTCATTTTATGAAACCTAGAAGAATTGATACATAATGTTTGATATTGTACTTCCTGAAGTTCTTATTTTCAACGAAATTAAAAAATAACTTGAATGTACTTTTTGTCTAAAGCAAAGATTGAAAAAATTTCGTTAAATGTTGTTATCAAATTGAGAAGTTTCGAGGATCTACTTTTTAAAATTTTCATGAAAAGCCTAACCTATACTTAAATGTTCATATTTAATGTTCGTATTTAACTTGAAACACCCACAATATCCAAACATTTTATTAACAACTAGTGATTTATGCATTTTAAACATATGTCAGAATACGAACGTTATGGTTATTTTAATTTCTAAGGTTTTACATGTAATAAAATCATTCTCAGAAATAAATATTGATCTTTTTACACTACCTGTCATCAGTGTTCGCCAAATTATACAAAATCAATTCAAAAACGAATACGTTAAAATAGACAAACTATTGCGAAATAATTTAAATGAGTAGATGGGACTGTATACTCATGAGAAATGTCTTCAAGATGACAACAATCTGATCATAAAGTTCCTTTGATAAAATCTATGAGCACAAAGGTGATACAGGGAGTTATAAGATAGACAGTGAAATCCAGAGGTTAGGCGTTCGCGCGCAAGACTAAAGGTCCTGGCTTCCAATCCTGTGAGGTGCAGAAGTCGTGGGTGCTCACTTCTGATGAGTCCCATACCAGGACAAAACGACCGTCCAGTGCTTCCAGGTTTCTAATGGTGGTCTAACTTTGATCGATTTCTGATTTCAAGTCAAAATATATTTTACATCAAACGACCAAATGGATTATCTTGCATTAGGAAGGCAAGAAAAGAATTCCAAGGATGAAATCTATCCGATTAAGCTAACATCATCAACAAATTCTGTCTTAATGATGTGACCATTTGTTCATCTATTTTTAACCAATCATTATCACTGCTGAATGATTATAAAATTTAGAATTTTTGGCCATTGCAGACGAAATAAATAGGTAAAAGAAATGGATACATTTAGTAAACAAATGGAAGAACCACCCCATAGAAGTTATGTTCAATTTTCAATTATGGTTTTTTGCAATTAATACAGTTCAACCATCTTTAATTATTCGTATTGAATTAATGATGATTACTTACTATATCACATCAATTGGAACAAAACTTTGGCCAAATGATCCGAATACAAAAAAATTATCCCAATCCAGCATCGGTAATTAAAATA